ATTGATTTGTTCTAGCATCGTATTGTGTTATAAAATAAAACTGCCCTGTTGAATACTAGAAGAAATGACAGCAACATGCTCTCTTTTGTTTATAAGGTTTTAGAGGCTAAAAGTATGCTTGGATCTCATGTGTTGCACATGATACCACAATGAAAGCTAAGATCAGAGGCAACTAAAAATAGCTCTGACGATTTGAGCTGACCACTCAGGATGTACCATCAGTAAAGTTTAAAGAAAGAAACAAACTAAAGAAGAACGTTTGAAAAGTAAGTGCAAAACTAAGTAACAAACTAAACACTTAACCAAGCTTTAGAGAGAGGTTGGTCAATCGTTTGGAAAATGTTATTAAAAAGGATAAGCAATAAGTAAAATGTGCTTTAAACACAGCTACAGATCTATTAGTGTTGGTTTGGTGGTTTAATAATGGCTTCTGGCAATAAGACATGACTTTAGTAAAATATGCAAACACAAGAACACAAGTTCTTTGTTTACCTCAGTCCTGCGATGTGTGGCTCTGTTCTCTTCTTTAGGTCATCTGACTGCGTGGGAGCAACAACAAGGCGAAGGTTATAGGGCGACAACACAAAGCCTCAGAAATAAACCACTCAGAAGGTTAGTTTGATGGACACCTGTTTAAATTTGTACAGATCGTTGGACTTCTCATGGAAGTTGAGCTGCAGCAGTTCTCTCTGCAGGTTCTCCACAAAGCTCTCGCTGCTGAGGAAGTTCCTGATGATGCAGTGAGGGAAAGGGTGGCAGTCCAACTCCAGATCCCCTGCAGAGCAAACACAAAGTGTGTGAGATGTTGACAAATAACATGCCTCTGACATTCCAGTCATGTCATGGATTTTCTTCATAAATTGATATGAGAGAGATATTAAATTAATTGACAATTGTTATAGCTTTACTCCAAATATCGTACTTTTTTTCAAAGTTTTTTACCCACAGCAATTGCCTTTTTACCACTGGATTGGGTTGACATCCAAGAAAGCCCAGTGATTTTTGCAACATGTATTCACGTTAACAGTTGTTGCTCAATATTTAACATTATTCAATATTCATAAAGATAAATATGTTTTAGCCAAACAAAGAATCTTATGCAGAATGATTATAATGAAATGCATTTATTTGTTCAGTCCTTCATGGTGCAGCTAGTAAAGACAGCAGGAATATTTTTGGGTTGCTAAAACTATAATATATAATCATCATTCATAATTCTATTTTAAAAATTGTGTAAAGATAATCTGATTTTGAAAAGTAACTAAAAGGGTCAAAGGGGTTTCTGTATTGGTAAAAGGTACAATATTTACTTCTGTATTGTAGTGAAGAAGAAGTATAAAGTAGCATGGAATAGGAAATACTCAAGTTAAGTACTCAAGTACTGCGAATTGTAACAAGGTACATTACTTGAGGTAATGTTGTTAATACAATGAGTAGTTTATTGTTGTTGTGTGACATTAAGAGCTGTATATTTTGACTATACTGCATCTAAAAAGCCAAACTAGGGACAAGACTTAGACGTGAGAAATAGTTATAAACCATCTGTACAGTACATTGGTTTTATGCTGCATTGGGACTAGGACCATTTGCAATGTCCCATCAAATACACAAATAGTTCCGATTCATTGCACCGCCGTTTGTAGCACATGACACAGATCAAATGAATGCAGACTGTCTGTCTGTCTGTCTGGTGTATTTCTGTATCACTGACCCTGGGTGCAGGCAGTCTTCTGGCCCCACGCCTCCCTGACAGTCTGCTTCACCTGCTGGTCTTCCAACACTGAGCAGAGTTCCGCTGGTTCCTCACAACTCCTCTTCCTCTTCCTCTTCTTCTCCGGCTTCACACTCTCCCCCGGCCGGCGTTTAGACGCCATTATAGAGTGTGAACTAGATAAACATGCAGGTATGACAAGCTTTATAAAAGAGGACAGACTACAAAGAAAACACGACTGGCGCGTGCAAGATTTTCCAGGGCGTCGCTGGTAAATGACGTGAAAACGCGTGGGTGATTTTGCCCTGAACTCAGACTGTCAGGCAGCGTTGTATATCAGACGTTTAAAATTGCACTTTATTTGTTTGTTATGGTTTTAAATTATGTGTAATGCTCACAAATATATATTAAAATTATCTATAATTTATTTAATTAATAATTTGAATGTTTATTTACTTTCTGCTGCCTTATTGCATTTTATGGTACCACCTAGTCAGTGATGGGTAGTAGCAAAGTACATTTGCTCAAGTACAATTTTGAGTTACTTGCACTTCACCTGAGTATTCTCAGTTCATGCTACATGTATTACAGAACATTTTCTGATTGTTTACGTTTAGATATGTAAATACTCTCAAGTGCATTCTTGCTTTGCAAATGGAGAGTTTTGTTAAATCTCAAAGATATATATAATATTCTTTAACGACTGTATTGTTTAACTTTTTATGTTCAGTTCAGTTCGTTCACCTTGATGCAAGACAATTCCCCCAATCAAGTCTAAACTGTGTGCATTATCACAAAGCCATTAAAGAATAACACAGCTAAAAAAAAAGTAATTGAAATGTGCGGACAAAAACAACGTTTTACGACATGGCTATGTTTCTTTTTTTAAATGATTGGATTTTTTAAATAATATTTTGCCAGAATTAACATTATTTCTTTTAAACATAAATAACTATCATTCAGCGACTCAGTTGCTCTTTGTACCTACAACAAAAACATACTCAAAAGGACTTTTTATTAAAAAGAAAGAAAAACACAGCATTGTTACAGGTTCAAACAACAGGATGTAGTTTGTTTAATCAAACTTGGGCCTCCTTAGAAGAAACATAAAATCTGATTCTCAGCAAACTGGAATACAGACTAAAAACACTTGCAGTTTCTAAAGATTAAAAAAGACTACAAAATAAACAGAAAAAAAACATATGCATGACATGAAAATGTCATGCATATGTTTGTTTTTTTCACAGTATAAACACCCCCGTGAAATGTAAATATACCCAACATGACAAGCTTTCTTTTGTGAAAGTTGAGCTAAAGAGGAACGTTTTTTTCTCCACATTGTTTCTCATTTTCACTCACAAAGGACTGCACTCATAGAGACAGCCAGACGTACTCAAGTATGCACTCAATGCACTCAAGTTGGTTGTAAATGAAGTTGAACCTATAAAATGATAATTATTCAATTTCAGTTCATGTTTAAGAGACTATTTACACAATCATGGCATTGAGATTTTTTCCATCTTTTATATATTTTCTTCTCTGTTAAATGTAACCTGTGGAGTTTGAAGTCATTGTTGATGAGTGAGCCGTAGCAAAGGCAGACGAGAAGACTTCAAAAAAATAAATTAAACCGAATCCAGATTTAAGATAGATGTTTTATGCATTTATTCTTAAGGATAAACACTAAGTTTTATTGAGTAACAGTGGTTGTATAAAAACAAGGAAACTCCAAGGAACACTTCACCCTTAAAATGATCACTTGAAGCCTACATCAATTACTCACTGCGATTATCTTGAATTCTTGAAGAAAACGTTCACATGCCTCCGTGGAGAATGAAGAATAAAAAAACATATTAATTCCTGAATAATTATAGGTTGATGGGGGCAGTGTTTAAGAACATCAACTTGATCAAAACATCTATTTTCAAACTCTTAAAAAACCTTGTGTATCATTCAAATGTATGCATACTATTTCCCAAAAACATACTATTTTCAAATCTTCCGCCACTACTGTCTCATACACACATCATTGCATTCAGGGTAACACCCGTAGTGTAGTTAATATCTTGATTATTTAAAGGGTGATGTATTGGTTTAATTCATAATAGTTCATGCAGGAGTCTTGTGTTTTTTTCGCCGAGTTACTTCAGCACCATCAGATCATTCTGCTGCAAAGAGAATTTTTCTTTTCAGCAAGACAAAGGGAAAAAAAGAATATCCCTGCAGATCTGAATGTGTGGCGTTGCAAGCTTCTGTTTAAGTTTTTGAATTGAAGGTTCAAATGTTTGTCGTAATATTTTATGACGTCATCCCCCCAGTATTTTTTTCTTTAAAAAAAAACCTTAATTTTCTTTCCGTTGGACAGCCCTGATACAGTGGCGTGCCTTCGTTTGTGTGCGGCAAGCAGTTATTTGATCGCATTGAAAATAGTTTTTGAAAAGGCCAAATGCCATGTTAACACCTATACACCCATGGAATCTAATTCCACATAAAGTGTACCACTCATAACGGCCCGTCCACACAGCGGCGTGCGTTGAAGCTTACCGGCGGGCGTGTCTGAAACTCGACCAACAACCAATCACATGAATCTCCCGCCCCGGACACACAAGCACGTGGTTTGATTGGCTAGAGCTTGTACTGGCATATGATTTGATTTGGCTGACGCTTCCGTCGAAGCTTCAAAAGTTGAACATTGCTCAACTTTTGCAGCGAGCAATGCGTAGCGACGCTCCCACAATGCAGTTCGACGAAGCGTGACGTCACCCCATTCAAAGTGAATGGACAGAAGCGTTGAAGCTTCGACGCACGCCGCCGTGTGGACGGGCCGAGTGTAGTGAAATCTAATCTTTATCTGAAACAGTGCACAACTACCGAGTTTACTGCTCCTAGTACTAGACTCCTGGTACTAGGATGGGTTAAAAGCAGAGAACAAATTTCACTGTTTCTGCTGTGCATGTGTGTCCATCAAAGAGGGTTTCATCCCTCCGATTCTATCTTCTATCTTTAAACAGAATTAATAGACATGCAAAAAAGAAAAAAGCAACGCAGTATTTTATTGTTGATTAAGAAGGGAACGTTTTGAGTGAAGCTTCAAACTGTTCGGTAACGCCCTACAAACCCCTTCACACTGCCCTGCATGTTTGTTATTCTTAAGAACAATCAGCTTCCTTCAATCTTCATGTGCAAAAACCTTATGTACGTGTCACTCAAGTGTTGACATTTCAGAAGAATACTATCAGAGAAAGCTCTTTAGTAGTCTTTATATTCATTGGGCTTTCACGGTGTAAACTGGTGTTGATAAAAATGTTTATTATGTTACACTCCAAACATGAAAGAAAACAATTGAATTTTTTATAAAAGTTACAGGTTGTACAAGTTTTATCGACAAGTTTACATCCTTGATAAAGACAGTTCACATAACTATATTCTAATCCAGCCCTTCAGTTTTTAATTCAACAACAGGCACAATCAACAGGAAAAAAAAAAAACCCAGAGTGTCTCACTTAGCTACTTACACAGTGACACAAACTATACCTGCTCAAAAGCTGTGGTAGGCTGGAAATGATTGGTCCATAGCCAGGAGCATTGTCATACAATTCAAACAACGGTGCTGCCACCAGTTTATAGTTTTTGGGGACAGCAAACAGCGCTGTGGAAACAAGAAATCACAGGTTTTCAACTCTGTCTGTGATTTATTCTCCATTAGACATCTGTGTAAAATTAAAATGTATATATACACTGACCTTTTTCCTGCAACTGAACCAGGAACAGCTTCTTATGCTCCTTAGGTTTGGTGATGTGTGCTGGGATATATGGATACTGCAATATAAACAACTTTTTATTAGTTCACATTTGCACGAACAGATAAACAAAATCATTACTGACCACAGAGGGTGTTTCTCAAGCACATGTCTTCCGAGTCACTTGCTTCAGAAGCGAGGCAAGAATCCTTCCTGGCATTTGGAAAACGAAGAGTGGAACAGGCGAGCAAGTGTGCGTCATATGAGAGGCCCCGCCTTACATTTTCCACCACAGATTTGGGGAAATTGGTCCTTGCGCAAATTATTTTGGGGATTTTAAGACCGCGGAGTCTACACATGTGCAGCCTCGAAATTTCTCGCTACGAAGTACGCCAGGCTCGGTAGAATTCCAAGTAAGCTGGACATTGGAACAGTCCTTCGGCGGCACTCGATGACGTAGTATGCTTGAAATAGTGGCTCTGGAGCAGCTTTACTCGACATTGAGAAACACCCAAAGACTTGAATTAAACTTTTTTCCTGGATTTATGAAGCAAAAAAATGGCAGCCTTCTGAAATGTGTTGTAACTGACTTCCAGTGTAGAGTAACTCTACAGGAAAAATAAAATGACTGAAACTACAATCAAATTTGTCCATTATGTTTGAGAAATGTTTAGTATCTCACATAAGTAATGTTGTAAGGTTAGCATAGACATTAAATGTAATAACGAATTGATTATATATCAAATCACTAAATCCTAAACGAACAAATAACATTATGAACCACGTTCACCGGGGCAAGCAGGGATGCTGACCAGATAAACAAATAACATTATGAACCACGTTCACCGGGGCAAGCAGGGATGCTGACCAGATAAACAAATAACATTATGAACATTATGAACCACGTTCACTGGGGCAAGCAAAAGATGCTGACCAGACACTGCTTAAAACTTTAAAAACTGATCTGATAGTGCTTAACTATTTTCAACTAAAATATTCAAAACACAAAATTCTATTGAAAAGTTATTTCAGTCAATTCAATATTTAAAACGTTTCAGTCATCTGTGTGTACCAACCTGTGGAGGCTCAAAGTTGGGGCGCCACCAGTTGCCAATGCAGTCGTCTATCACCCAGTCCTGCTTCACGCCGTCCTGCCGTCCGAGGATCTAACAGAATACAAAAGTTATTATACATAAACTCCACAATGACCACAGTTACAGGAAGCAAACAGTGTGACATGATGTAGCTACCTCTGTCATCAGGCGTTTCAGACCCTCCACTTCATCCTCTCCAGGACTCAGCTCTCCTCCGGGCCTGCAGGAGAGAAGCAAACTGTCAGACGAATGCTCAGTAAAAACCTTCAGCTGCTTCACACAGGAGCCTCTGAACTACTCACAGTTTGAAGAAAGTGGTGCCCAGCTGCAGCAGTAACACATGAGGCAGCCTGTGTTCGTGGACGATGAGAACGCCCTCAACTGTCCTCCGCATTCCCATTTTCTCAAACTCTTCCCGCATCCGCAGGAACCGGGCGGCCACTGAACTGTCCTTCTCATACAGAGGCTCTTTGGTGCCGAATGTGTAGTTGGTTAGAGGGTATCTGAAATACAAACATAAAACCTCATTAAGCATGACCAAAGATCAATACAGTGTTTCTTTATCAATTAAAACATCCACAATAGCCTTCAAGTGGCTTCTTCTGCCAGACAAACAGTCCAATAACCAGAATTATTGTTATGATGTAACCAAAAAACAAAAAGCCAATCTGTTTATCCTTTATTCATTAAGGAGAACCATGTGAGTTATTGTTGTTCTTTAAGATAATGGGTTCCTATCTGTAATGCAAGAACAATATTGTTAATAAATTGCAAGGTAATGTTATTCCAGTATGTTTTAGTGCCCGTTTTTAAACAACATTTGAATGAATTGTGATGAATTGCAATTACTTTAAGATGTCATGACATCTCTATAATCAATTATCATTAGTTGCAACTCTAGAATTATACATTACATGCTTGGCAAATATTTGAACATCCTAAATAATGTTTCCCAATCCTACTCTTTCACGTTAACACATTCTTATTTGCTTTTATTGTACAGATTCGATTAATTTATTGTGTAAAGAACCTGATTCTGAATCCGAATATAAGTGTAAAAGCAAACACATCCAGGACCAAAACACGACCACACGGTGCACCAAGAGTTATTGTGCTACACGTTGTTTGATGCGACCAGACCCTCCTGGTTCCAACATTGGACATAGAAAGCTAATTGGGGTATTTGGATAGATGTAACCTCGGGGAACTTGATGTTTTTATGTCTGCAGCTGTAGCACTCACAGGTTGATGGTCCTCTCTAGAGACAGGGGTTTCGCGGGCCCGCTGATGTATTTGTTCCCGAACTGAACGGCTCCTCCGCGCGGCCAGCCGGCGTTCGAGCGACTGGGGGGCACGACCGACATCTCTCCGGCGAGCTCGACGAGGCCAAACGCAGCTGCACGTGAACCTCAAAAGGGTGGAGGGCTAGAAACCTGCTGGATTATCAAAAATAGATAAATAATGTCTAAACTATTGTGCGAACAGTACACAACAATTTCTTCGCTGTCGTTTCCTTTGGCCCTCCTTTTCCGGGTGAAGTAGTGCGGGTTCTGTCCCCGCGAGCGCCCCCTGCTGGTGTGGATGATGATCTTCAAGCGGGTTATATTTCACTGAAATGTTTGATTACTCATATTTTCTACTTGAGTAAAAGTTCAACTACCAGAGTGTAGGAATACTCTGTTACAAGTAAATATAGTAATATATTACAGTACCAAAAGTAAAAGTACTGTTTATGCAGATTGGCCCATCTTAGAAAAACGTATATGCTTTAGTTATAATTATTGATACATAAAACTGTCAAAAGCTATATTTGTTTACCATGTTTTAATTAATGTTAAAAAATAAAAAATAATTTAGGCTATTATGGATATTTTTAACAAACCCCTCTGTAAAAAAAACCCATTTATAATAAGGGTAATCTATTAAAGTTTCTAGAGCTTTCAACAACATCTATTAATCTGGCACCAAAGATCATAATTGACCAGAGACAAGGACGACCATGAAGACCATGGGTTTCATAAAAGTTAAGAAAGTTATGTACCCTGAGTTTTCTGTCAGAAAACATGTATTTGTGAAAAATAAAGTATATCACCCGTAAACGAGCAGAAGGAATGCCTCAGTCAATTCAATATTCCATTTAATAGTCATATTTCTCTTTTTCATATATTGTAAACATGGTGTATTTTACCACAGTAGTTGTCTTATGGTACATAATCATACGTGCAATGCAAAAAGTCAAACGAAAGTTAAAAAAGGACAAAGACACTGCTGGATTTGTTGATTGCGTCACACCAAGGGGATCTCAGTTCTTTGGTCCAGTGGCCCACCCTCTGCTGTGGTGTGCTGCTGTAATGTGGTGGTCCCTGTTGGAAGTGCCATGGATCATCTCCCCCTTGACTCTTTACTGTGGTCTCTCTCGCCCCGTCACAGTAGTTGGTCCCGTGTTTAGCAATTTCTTAACTTTTGAATCACTTCCCAACTTCATCTTGTTTTTCCTCCTCTTTCTCACCCTTGTCGCTACACAGCTCAGCATCTTCTCCTGATGCAGGTTCTTCTACTTTTGATTTCATTGTGTCTTCTTCGGGTTTGACACTTTCTTTCTGCACTTCTTTTATTATCACCTCGCTGTCAGAATTGAGAGCTGGTTCCTGGTTTTCATTCTCGCCCTCCTTCCCATTGTGGACAACTGTCTTGCTCTCCTCTGTCTCAGTTTGCTTGCTCTTTTGGACAATCTCAAGCTCACCATCTGTTATGTAGAGAGAAAAATACAAAATATGCCCTTCAAAATACAAACTTACTTGAAAAAATAAAACAAATGTTGTTTAACACTTAGGCACAACATATGGTTAAACATTGCCTAATAACAGAAACGGTCCCACTTGTCTCACTTAGGGAAGACATTTTAAATTGCTGATATTACACAATTCCTGTTCTGTTTAATTAGAAAGAAAGGAGTGTATCACAGAACCATGATCCACAATTATGATAACATATATTATGATCCTTACTTCCTAAATTCACAATTATATAACGGATTTCTTACATTTTGGGACAGAATAGGACACAACCACGAGTTTAGGGAATTCCTCTGTAGGAAGATAGGTTTTTTTAATACCTAAAATCACTTTTCTGTAATGAGGCCCCAGAGTGAAAAAGGTTACACTTAAAACCAGAAGAAAAAAAAAAGACTATACAATTTAACTCACGTGTCCCCTTTTCTGCAGGCTCTTCACTGGATCTTCCCTCAGGAGATGTCTGCAAGTCATTATCTTGACCTGGACTAGTCAAATGTTGAGAAGCATCACTGCCGTTATCAGGTGAGAGGGTAGAGCTGCCGTCGTTAGTGTTTGGTGGGTCAGAGTCGGTCATGAGTGAGGAGCAAATTGCAGCTGCGGAAGATGAACTGGTGGGTTTGGTGTCTGCCCGGTATAAAGGGGTGGCAGTGGAAGTGGTGTCTGTGGGGTTTGTCTCACTGGAGGAAGTGGAGGGAATGGATATATCAGCGGGGTCAGAGGTGGCTGGGTGAGTAATGATGGATGAGGAGTTGGTGCAGTCGGTGGATGTTTGGCTTGTTGTGGTGGTGGAAGAGGTGGATATGGTGGGAGGAGGATCGGGAGAAGAAATCAGGAGGGAGGAAGAGGTAATGGAGGCGAGAGGTGAAGCTGCAGTTGTGATGGTGTCACTTGGAGGTGGAGATGTTGTTTTAGTGCCAGATGAAACTAATGTAACAGAGCAAGAGGTGACTGAAGGGGAGTCATCACTAGCTTTAGTCACTGAATTCGTTTTAGCAGACAAGCCTGAGGGCATATCTGATGTGCTGGTGGAGGGTGAAGAAGCTGTGGTGGCGACAGAAATAGCTGAATCACCACCAGCAGCAGGATCTACTGAGGGAGAAGTCGATGTAGTTGACAGATTTGCTGTGGAAACCGAGCTTTCATTGCTGGGAGCAGAAACGGTTTCAGAGGTGGTAATGGAAAGCGTAGTTATTGTTGTTGAGGTGGAAGTGACAGAGAGGCTGGGAATGATGGACTCAGAGGAATTGGAAGTAACTGAAGGGGTGGCAGGGGGCTCTGCAGGGGGAGTGGTGCTTGTAACGGTTGTCTTAGAGATGGAGGTTGGTGGTTCAGCGGTAGTTTCTTCAGGGATAGAAGTTTTACTGTCGTGCTCTGTAACATTAGTGGGTGTTGTGGCTGCAGCAGTGGGGTTAGCGGAGTCAGTGCTTGTATCTGTGCCGGCGGGGGTTTCAGCACTCGTATAATCGTTTGAGTCAGGGACTGGGTTTGAGATTGTCGGTGCAGTAGGAGTGGTGGTGGTAGTGAGTGCAGGAGCTGCAGCTGGACTCTGTTTAGTGGGTGTGTTTGTCTCTGCTTCTTGTATCTGGGCTAGCTCGTTCTCAGGAGTGTTGCGGCCAGATGTTGTGGGGGGCGGGCCGGGCCTGATAACGGGCTTCGGAAGCAAAGCAGGTTTCCCAGCTGACTCGTGTGCCGACACACTCGGGCGAATTTGATGTCTTGTGTCTAAAAAAAAAGGCAATGTGAAAATGATTGCTTATCATATACATAGGGTCTGTTCGAAATTGCATAATAACGGATATTTACACATTATTGATATATTAATAAAACAAATAAGATAACGTAAATAACCCAGCTCCTCTTGAATCATATTCCATTTCTCTCTGAATTTAAATGTAATTGAATTATTTAGTGTAGTTTTGCTTTTTTAAAGCTTTCTTATGGTCCAGGAGACTCTCTGACAAAACCCTACACTTGATTTTAAGTAACTGGCTAAGAAATAGATTTTCTTTCTTTTTTTGTACAATTGTGTAGTGAAAATCTGATATTTAGAAATTCCCAATTCATACCACACGTCAAATTGCATGTGTAATGCGTTCCAACAGCAAGCAGATTTTGTGAATGTGAGAAATTCAAGGATGTATACCAGATAAGCAAAATCTCTGAGTATGAAACCTTATATACTCAACTGGAGCTAACATATATATTGTAATTTAGAAAACCTGTTTAGCACTAAAGTGATGCCTTAAAATAATTATGGTAAATATAACATTAAGAGGGAGGGTTAATGTAAACTTAAATTTGGATAAACTGTTTTTGTTCCACAGTCATTTAAGCCTATAAGTAACCGTGTGATAAATCGTTAATTTATTAGGCAGTACATATTGATTGAGTATGTGTTACGTTAGTATGCAATTTTGAACACATGCCATACTGTATTGGAGAGTGGATCCGTGTTGGTGTCTGTGTTTTACCTGATGATGCAGACATCGTTCGAGGTTTAGTAGGTGGTGGCTCAGGTTTACTGTCAATGATAGTACCTGAGGCACAAAGATCATTTACAAGAGGTATTCATTTATTATCCCTTAAATGGATGGAGAGTCGTGTCTGCCCAAAGAGATATTCAATCTTTCTTATGGACAAGTGATCCATTTAAAATAGAAAAGGGATCTTCTTTTAATACAAATCCCTCAACTTCAAAGATCAATTTAGCTTTATTAACACTAAGCCGGAGCAGAGGAGTTTAATCATACTAAACATTGAGACATACCTTCAGATTCTGCTTTTTTCATTTCTCCCTCCGGACTCTAAAAGAGCAAAATAGGTATTTAAACACTTTTCAAAGACCATAACAGTATACATATGTAAATTGAGACATGCCCTTTCACCCACCTGTGTCTCTCCTGGCTGGGCTTTGGAAACTCCAATACGTTGAAGCATGAGATGGAGTTTCTGTTCAAAACTGTGTTGGCCTTCAAATTGTTTCTGAAATCAGCAACATTAAAGTAGCGAGTGATCTTCAAAACATAGCACTGATCTAAATGTATACATTATTTAAACCATACCAACACTGGGAATCATTCACAACATTTCTGAAGTGATACTGTCTTTGTAAACCCAACCATATTTGTTCTTAAATAAGAAAACAGTCTATGCACACATACGCAGATTTTAATGCCGACATAATTGTGCAAAATCTGTGATCATAGCAATTCTTGTGATTCTACCAAAAATATTATACAGGATATAATTTACAAGAAAATGTTCATCATTGATAATAATTATCATAATGAATTACAGGAAAGTGGTCTTCTCAAGATACAGCTTTTGTGAAGCAAGTAATAGCATTAGCATTTACCCAGAACTACATTTGAAGCTCATTTGGCTTTTACTTCTTGCAAACTTCCTCCACTTCAAAACTACGAAAAAATGATATTTTTTAAAGGTTGGAGTCCAGTACTACACCATCTTTATGCTTTCTTTTTAACATTCTTGACTTAATTCTCTTAAATTATATTTTCTGTGTGGGTCCTGCAATCTTATACCACATTACCCTGCGTATTTGCCATTTGTAGCTAGGCTAATTCAGATTAGATGCACAAGGTCAATTCATGAGGACCAAGATATCTTCATTATAAGAAGATAAGAATAAGGCATACAAATAATCCTGGTTTAACAACGTATAATGGATCGGACAAAATCCCTCTACAAGACATTTAGGGATAGATTTAGATACTGGTTTATAATAGGGCCCACTC